CAATCCAAAACCTCAAGAGTAGCTCAAGGTCTGTATTTTATAACATAAAAGTTCTCTTTGAAATAGTATGAGATTGAATAAGCAGATAATGTCTGTACTATGAATGTTATTCTTGCTGTTAATCAAAAGCAATAAATATGCTTGGAAATACTACCTTAGAAGGGCAGACAAAACAAAAGGGACTGAAAGTCTGTGCAGGGAGTTTCAAAACAACTGTGCTTTGGGAATGGCAAAAAACTACAAAAAAGATGATCAGGGAAGAATGAAAAAAGATGATTGCCATGAAAGAAATTAAGGATTTGCCTTTAGAAATACTATTAGGGCATGTGTCTAAAATAATTCTTTAGTGCCACATGAGATAAATATTCTCTTTACTTTTGACCTTTTACAACTGCTCTGGAATGAAGGAATGTTCTAGACAACATAATTTTGCTGTCAACTTGAATGTCCCTTTCTCTCTCTACTCAAAACAGACTGATCTATTATACAGTAGAATCACAGAGTATCCCAAGTTGGAAGAGTCCCACCAGGATCACCAAGTCCTGGCCCTGCCCAGGACATCCCCAGGAATCACACCATGTGCCTTATTGTCCAAACATTCCAAGAACCCTGCCAAGCTTGTTGCCATGATCACCTCCCTGGAGAGCCTGGTCCAGTGTCTGACCACCCTCTGGGTGAAGTAGTCAAGAAGTGTGAAACTGAGAGAAAGCTCATGAAGATTTTATCTAACATTTCCTTGACTGTAGGTAATTCACCCCTATGAGATAAATACATACCTACCTCTCCAACATACTCCATCACAAAACTGTTGGTTTTAATTTTCTGGAGGGTTTTTACTCCCCAGCCACGGCCATTGTTGGTTCTGAAGATGCAGAGGGAATATGGGGTCCCTTTCTGCACAATCCTATTGGGGCAGTCAGGCCCACACCTACAATATGAATTGCACTCATAGATGGGCAAGCCAGGCTGGATTTTCAATTTCTTACGTTTATTGTAAGCCAAAATAAAGCCAGCCTCCTTTGGACAGCACTTCTCAGCAGGGCAGTCAGCACACTCACAGCCAGTTGTTATTCCATTGAGCACATTTATTCCTGGAGCAGGTTTATACTCATTGATGTAGTAGAAGTCTAAAGGAGGGCCTTCAAGATCCACGGTGTTTTCTACCAGAATCATTGCTTTGTGATTCTTTTTCCTGTTGAGTTCTTCTGTCCACCTCTGCAGAGCTATTCTTTGTTTAGCCTTCTTTACCACATAATCTGCAATTGCAGGTTTCAGAGTTTTAACATGGTTTCTCAGTTTCATTGCTTTGCCTCCTCTCCCCCGAGACAAGTACTCATTCTTGTCTCTAAGAAAGTTCTGAATAAGCAGAGGGCAGTTCAGATGCTTCCGAGGTTCCCAAGTATTTGAAGATTCTGGCCATCCTTTCCATTTCACAAGATAGTATGCTTTGCCCTTGAAATACAGAAACAGATACAGATTTAGCCAGAGCTCATGTTGCTGAAATCCACCATCACAGAACAACACAAACACAAGAGCTCTGGACTTAAGGATCAGCACACGGGGCAGAAGGCCTTGATGTCCCCATAAAAATTACAGTTGGGGAGAAAGGGAAAAATCAGTTTGTCTGCAAATTAACTTCTAGCACAACTTTGCATACTTTACAAATTGTCTCTAGGGACAAAGAAATCAAAAGCTGGGATGAACTCTGATTGCTGACAGCATACCTGGAGGAGGAGGCCAGTTTGTCAAGGCAGGGTAAGTTGTGCTAACTCGCTGTATGACTCGTATGCACAAGCAGAATGCAGTCGTATCACAAACAGAACAAAAAAAAATGCAAAACGTAGCAAAAAAAGGTCTAAACCCCACTATTGGTCATATCAACCATCCTCCCAGAACACTATTTAATTTGATAAGTGTAAGATTGTATTTACAATGAAGCAGCATTCATTTTGTACTTATTTAAAAAGGACAAATAACTGTAACAAGGGCAAACCCTGAGACTGAATTTCACAGGAATCCATTTGCAGCACGTGGCCCTAATTCTTCATTGAACAGACTAAAAGAATCAAGACAGAAATACACATGGTTGTCTGTAAATAAAGGAGAGACATCATAACTCATACTGAGCTACCACCCTAAAGCATCAGCATCAGATACACAAAGGTGAAACATTTCATATTCTAAATGACTGTAATTTCAGGAAAAGTTCTTCCTTGCACATACTGAAAGTAGCACTTTACAGCACTTTCTGTTTGCAGTTTAAAGTTCAAAATATATTTAATTTGATGCCAGCAAAAGCTTTGTCCTCACTATCTGATTCTTTATATTATGAACAAAACTACCTTTTACTTGCTTCCAAATTTCAGCTAAAAGAGTGATCAAATTGGTCTGTGTTTCTCTTACCTCTTCTACCTTGTAGTCACACAAATATTCCACCTCATAACTCTTTAGACTCCTGTTGGTGATTCCAATGGATTTACATGTGAGATTTTCCTTCCTACATAATTCTTGGAGGGTCTCATGTGAAGCTAGACATGGCACATACCAGGCTACAATAAGAAAATTGGTAAAGAATCCTATTTAATGTCTCAGCTAAATTGAAATCATTATGCCTCATCCCAGAGTCCCCACATTACCATTTGTGACAGCAGTCCACGAGTCTCCTGTACAACAACTGCAGCGTCTCCAACTCAACCCTTCTCTACCGGGTCAAGTGAAACACATTCATGATTCCCTCCCTGCACCTTTATTCTGTATAGTACGTACGCATCCAAAGAAAAACAAACATTTTGGAGGGCAGAGACTTCCACAGGTGAAAGATACACTAAGCACCAGCAATTTTTCTACAATTACCGCATCGCACAACTGAATTCCGGCAAGCAGGAAACCTCCATTCTTTAACAAGACCGCCAAATTTCTGTAGTCAGGCGCAGCTGAGTACTTGCGATGCAACCATGGCGACCGGACGAGGAGATAGAGACCCACAGCCCTTATCGGGCAGGATCGCGAGTGCCGGGTCAGCGAAGCGGATTTAGAGGGACGAGACGTTCCCGCCAGCGCCCGGGAAACACCGGGATCGAGGCGCGGGATGAAGTCCAGAGCGGGAGCCGCCGGTGCAGGGCCGCGCCCGCCTCTCCCCGGGGCTCCGCGGGGCTCTCCCGCCCCGGCCCCGGCGCAGCTCACAGGGCTCAGGAGGGGGCGGCGGTGCCTTTCCCGCGGCCGCACCGGGATCCAGCGCCTTTCCCCGCGTCCCACCCCCGCTTCCAGGGTTACCCCAGGCACCTCCCGCCCTCCTCGCACAGCTCCCCCAGGGCAGCGGGCAGGATCCTCAGGGCAGCGGGCAGGACCCCCAGCCCTCCCCTCCCTGCCCGCCGGGGCTCTGTGGCGGTGGGAACGGTCCTGACAGAGCCGGGCGAACGGGAACCGCTAGCGGCTCCCACAGCCGAAAGCGAGCAGCAGCTTCCCCACCCGTCCTTCCCCCCGGTCCGTCCCGGTCCCCCAGAGCCCGGGCGGCCGCAGAGCCCCAGGCGGCCGCGTCCCCAGCCCGCTCCCCCCTCACCTCCTCGCCAGCCCTCCATGTTGGGGGGTGCGGGGGGCCCGCGCCGACTCCGCCCCCCGCCGGAAGGGAGCGGGGCGCAGAGGGCGGCCCGGGCGCGCGCGCGGCTCCGCCCGCCCTCCCCTTTCCCGCCTCTGCCGTGAGGGGCCCCCGCAGGGACGGGGCCGGAGAGCGGCTGAAAGGGAGCGGGACAGAGTTAAAGCCATTTTGCTTTTGTTCTTACTGAGCTCTGCAGTGCCTGGGACAGGCGGGGAAGCGCGAGGCAGCTTCTTTCCCGCGGCCCTCAGCTGCAGAGCTGAAAAGAACCTCGGAGGAATGGTCCCGGCCTTACCCTCACTCCTCAGACGCGGTGTTAACTATTAATGTAGCTTCGGCAGAATCACAGAATCGATAAGTTTACAAAAGGCCTCTGAGATCATCAAGTCCCACCTATGACCAAACACCAGCCTGGCAACCAGACCATAGCACTGAGTGCCACGTCCAGGCCTTCCTTAAACGCCTCAGGGTGTTAATTAAACACTCACTACCGCCCTCGGGCAGCCCATTCCAATGTCTAATCACCTTTAATGGGAAGAAATTCCTCCCATTGTCCCACCCAAACTCCCCTGTCACAGCTGAGTTAGTAACCTCTTATCCTGGGGCTCTTTTTCCTAGGGAACCACTGAAGGTTCCTAGCAGGCAGGTAATGGAATACAGCCCTCTGCAAACCCAGACTGGGATCCCTTGCTGTGTTCTCTTAATTTTTGAGGCTCCTCTGTGACACTTTCAGTGTTTTACAAGGTAATACACTGTTGTAAGCACTGAATTGTTGTCCCTTAACTGCACTTTAGGCTGAGACCCTCAAATTCCATAACCACACTTGCCTGCTCCATCTCGTTATTGAAAAAACCTGCCAGCTTATACCCACACAAATGTATGACAATACAGATTTAAAACCACACATTATGGAGATTGTCAGGATCTGCATAAAAAATGTATTTTTTAATAACATACAAATAAGCACACTTAAGTCTTACATTTCTCAGGTAATATGACAAAACCATTTTACAGAAAAAAAGTTTAAAAAAAAAATAAATTCATCTGCTCAAGAGGCCAGCACAAATGAGCTCCACCTTCATGGTTTTGGGCAATATCAAGACCACACAGGATTCTGGTATAAAATGAGTGGATTTTCACCAGTCTCCATCTCAGGTTCAAAGCTATACTACTGAAGCCACAGATGCACTGGCTGAATGGGTACAAGACCTGATTAGTCAAGAAAAATCTTCAAACTATGTAATATGCTTGTTGCTGAACCACAGGCATTTGTGCTTTGTATTTTGTACACCAAGTGCTGATAATTCAACAATCTGCCGTTCACATGTCTTGACTAACATTTTGCACCACACTCTAAACAGACTTGGTGGCAAAATAACTTGGTGGCATTTCAGTTTATTACATCATGAGAGACATCACAGAGAGTCACTGCTTTGGCAGAAAAGCCAGTAAGAGACAAAAATCAAGTTAGAAAAACGTTGCCTTCCAAAGTGGCCTATGATGCCACTTCAACAGTGATGATTTCACACTTTCCAGAATCTTGATCTGTGCAGGTGACGTGCAAGGACCCATCCCTAGATAAAAGAGAGTTATGTTTAGGATTATCTCAACACCACACTTACTATGTTACTGCATGTGCCAGAGAGGATAAACAAGTCTTCACACTGAGGGAAGGATGATAGATCAGCATCAAAATATCCAGGGACAAACACGCTTCAACACAGATTAAATGGGTTTATGAAATTTAAGTTTAATTTAGTCATTGTTTATATATCCACTTCTTGTCCTTAAAGCATCTATCTTCTCTACATATGTTGGAATTAATCAAAGAACACAGTTAAATACTGCAATTTAATTTATTTTGTACAGGTTTCTAAATAGAATATGTGGTAATATTATTCAAAATATTTCTTGTGAGTGCTGAGTAACAGCAGTGGATTGATAAACATTTCTTGTCATAGCATGAGAACTTGACTTTTGAAGTGTAAATAGTCTTTAAATTCCAAGGATCTCCTTCAACAAGGAAAACCTTAATTGTCAAAATTCAAGACTTTAGAAACAATATTTGTACCTAAATTTATTTTGTGTGACTGTATGCCTTACTTCAGCTAGGCATACAGTCACACAAAATAAATTTAGGTACAAATAGATGTTTTCTACTAAACTTCTTCTCCCCTTTATCCCTAAATATTCCTTAAACCTCCTTCCAAAATATGATGATTTTCTGCATGACAGAGTTGCATCTATAATCCCCAAAATGTTTTCCTTATCAGTGCTCAGTATAAATCTCTGTATGACAAACCAGGCATTTTGGGTGAGGTCTATTAATAGGCCGATTTTTATTATACACCCGATAGCTAACATAAGAAAATGAAGTATTTTGAAACTTAAACAGCAAGTAGAAATTTCCTGTGGCACTGTTTCTCTGTTTAACAACCCTGCCTCTGAAAGGACAGAGCCACTGCAAATTCTACAATCCTTCATACTAAAAAAGACAAAACCCCCTTCAGTTTTTCCCAAGAGTGTGGGCATTCAGCAAAGCTCCCTAACCCACTTCCAGAGGAAGTCTCAGACCCTGACTGCTCTCATGCATGGTCAAACTGATCAACAGTTCAGAAGTTGCTAAAAATGATCTACACAGTTGTATTAAGCTTTGCTTCTTTAAGAATCAAACAATGACAGCACCAAAGGTACTGCAGAAAACCCACATTTCTACAGAATTTACTCCTGCTAGGACTGTACAGCCCTGTAACCAAAAAATGCTGGAATTTCTCAAAAAATAAAGAATTAAATACTCTGTAACAGAAGCAAAGACTGCCAGAAATGTGACATAGCAGGGCAAACAGCAGAACAAGTGTTTTGGGTACCTTTTCATTGTGAGAACTGTTAGTATATCATGCAGGCCATCCTCCTTTTTATCTAAATCCTGGAGTACAATCTAGTAAAAAAAAAGAAAGTTTGATTATAGTCGGTTCTTCATGTTCTTGTTCAGCACTTCAAAGGAAGTGACACAACAGCTAAGATGTGAAAATAAATGCATTTTAGCTATTCGCACTATTGTTTTTGTGTTTTGGTTCAGGATGTATCCCTGAGATAGCTGAAGTACCACTCCCACAGTGTCCTTTAGAATCAGAACTGTAATTATTAGGTAACATCCCTTCCCTACCTCCTTTAAAGATATTTGGGCAGAATTAAGGTGGAATAACAATCTTCTTAAATATTCCATCAATCTCAGACACATCTGCCCCTTCCCTGATGCTTTTCAAGGAAAGCACATCATAACTGTTTACAAAAAAGCTGTGTTCTCTCTGTAGGCTGATTCCTAAACAACAACTTTAAACCCTCACTTGACAGAATCATTTCATCTTACCACTGTGATAAATAAAATTCAATATTTAATAACAAGATCCTGTCCGACCTAGGAAGATCAAAAAGTAATCAACATATTAGCTATACCATTTCCTTCATCAGTTTTATTTTTAAAATGTTCAAGGATCTGTGTATGACTGGAATAACTGGTAAAGATCTCTCATCCCAGGTGATCTTATTACAGTAGTGCCCAGTGTCAAACCCTGTCAGCCATTTAGGAATTCAAAAGGGAAACTTCAGTACTTTACAAAGTACTTCAATATTTTGCATGTCCAGAAGAATAATTAAAAGACCAATACTAAAGAGATGCATGTCACTGTATTTTCCTAACAATAAATGCTGGTATTGGTGGAATTGGTTTCCATTTTTTCCCCAGGAGGCTGCTGTTAAAAGTGCACAGGAGTGTGCACATACTCACCTGTGCAAATTTCTCTTCTTCATTCATGGGACTCTTGCCCAATGACTCGTAGAGCTCAAGGCACACAGAGGAAATGTTCCCAGGGGCATGCAGGGTGTGCTGCCTTCGAGCTGGCAGTGGTGTCCCTGATGGAAACAGCACTGTGAATTTGTCAGCCCCTGACTCGTCTACTCCCTTAAAAAAGAATAAAAAGAATATAGTTCATGTTTTTCTTTAAGTGCTTCATTGAGCTGGAAGTGTCACAACAATGCACCACAAGAAAATAAGTCCAAGCTTCATTCCCTATGTCACATTTACCATCCAAGCAAGTAAAACCCTGACATTCCTACAAATGAGAAATCCAGCTATTGCAACATAGGAAAGATACAATCTATCTCCCCTTAAAATCAGTTTTTCCTGTCAATTTTTTATCAATAAACCTAAGTTACCATGATAACTTACCAGTGGTAACCTAAGTTACCACTGCTAATCTCTAGCAAATCTGTAGAAGTAATAACAAACCAATGCTGTGTCTCTAACATCAATCACACATAATCAGTGCTACATATTCACTACAGCAGTAAAATTTTCTAATATTCTAATTTTAGCCTTACCTTAAGAAGAATATCTTTGGCAGAACACTCAATGAGTGCATCTTCCTCTAACAAGGTATTCTCTTTCCCTAGCAGAATTCCTGCCTCTATGGCTGCACCAATGGGAATAACTTCATCTGGAGGAATTGAATTCAGTAATTCCACAGTTGGGAAAATGTCTTTGATCAGCTGCTGTAGCTTTGGGATTCGAGCAGACCCACCACAAAGAACTACCTGGAAAACACATCATAATAATTTCAAATCTTTAGTCTGTGAAATAAAACTGACAGGTCACACCCTGCTGTGTAAAAATAAAAACTGCTCTGGGATATTTTATCATCTGCAGTTGTTGAAATAAAAATTGATGTAATCTTGGGTTGACTTGATACTTATGCTTCTGAAATTAAAGGAAATACTATGTCTTTGAAAAGTTTCTCTTACAGCAAGAATCACCTAAATAAAGTAACACCTTGAAAATTCAAAAATTTGTCATAAAAAGAACATAGGGTTCAAAAGGACTTACAAAGGTGATCTAGTCCAACCTCCTGGCCAGACCAGGCACAGTTACAACAGGCTGCTCAGGAGCTTTGCTGCACAGATATTGTATTCCACAGGCCCTTAATTCAGCATCTGATTTCCCTCATACTACACATTCCTTTCCTGGAATCTAACATTTCCCCATGCTGAACTTGTGCTACTTGCCACCCACCCTTCCATCATGCACCTTTAGGAAGGAGCAAGTCAGCTTTTACCCATTAATCCAAGTCTTATTACAGAGACTTTGTTGAAATCATCCAGATCTGGAAACAAAGTTAACTCCCACTTTTCCTCATGTAAAACATAAACCTAATTTACAACTCTGAAGTTGTTTATTTTTACATTTAAGATGTTCTACTGCCCTCCATCCAAAGAATTAAAGCCTGAAAGGCCACCTAAAAGCCACTGCCTCAGAAAACAAAAGCCATTCTTTGAACAGTGGCCTGGGATACTTCATTATCAATCAGAGAAACTGAGATGTGACACAACAAACACTAATTAAAAGTCTGAAACAGCATCAAGTGTCACTGAGAGCGCCAGGCAGCTCCAGCTGCAGACCTGAGGAGCCAATTCTGGCAGCAATGAATGCAGCACCACTTGCCAAGCACAGGTAAAAAGGGGTGAGATGAATTTCCTCTCTTACACCAAGGCAAGAGAGACACAAATCACAAATTAAACTACTGATGTCTGCTGCCTTGCTCACATCCTTGGGATTAAAGCACTCTGGTCTGGCACCTCCTGTAGTTTTTAAGCCAGCAAGGAGGAGCACAAGCACCAAGTAGACACTTAGTGATCTGTTAAAGTCAAAACTTTGCCTTGCTTCAGAAGTGCCAGCAAAACCTGTCCAAAACTCAATGAAGGCAGAACAAAGCCCAGAGACTGAACTTAAGGAAGGAACTCCTCAGCTTGAATTTGGGCAGTTACACAAACACACCAAATGGAGACAAATCCTCCCCATCCCTCAATATGCAGCAGTAAAAACTTATACTTAACTTCAGACCTTATACTTAACTTCTACCTTATACTTAACCTCAGACACCTGAAATAAAGCAAATACAGCAGTTCTAAAGATCCTGAATCTATAGACTTTGTTGGATCCCAGTCAAAACTGCTTAAATAGCTCATGAAACAATCTCAGTCTGCAAGGAAAACAGGCCCCATAAGCATTGTTCTTGTGGAAGTGTCCTACAGACACATGATTTCTATTATTACCTTATTAATGTCATCTGCTGTAAATCCAACTTGCTGCAAGAGCTTTTTAATTGCTTCTACACATTTACTAAAAAGTGAAGAACAGATAAGTTCAAATCTGGCCCTAAAAGAGAAAAATAAAACATTCAAAAAGGATCATGTCATCCATTAGAGACAAGTACCTGAAATGGAAGGACAATAATTTTTAGAATATGCTTTAGTTCTCCACCTGGTACTAAAGGGTTTTAAAAAAATCATATTTTCCCATTATTAATCTTCAAGCAATTTTGTTGTTGGGGAAGTATCTGTGCTATTAGTTCCATCAACAACACCTACATGAATGTACATTCATTCTTCAGTGTACTCCAGAGAAAAAACCCCAGTATTGTTGTCTTGACAACACCAGTATTGCTGTCTTGACTCATGCCAAAAAAATAAAGAAAAATCCTGGAACTGCTTCATGATCTGTAAAATGAATACAAGGACTCCATTTTTAGAGGCAAATCAAGCTGTGTCCTGATTTTCACACAGGGAGCAGATTAAGCAAATTAAAAAACAAACTTGTGCTTGCTTTTGTCTCTTTCAAGCCTGCAAAGGAAGTTGTACTCTGCATGAATACCACAAATCAAAGTCTGCAACACTGATCCACAGGATTGGCATCCTGATCCAAATGGAGCTGACCCCATTTATACAGTACTGCTTCTCACACTTTCAAACATGCTGTGCCTTATTTGAGCAGCTCCAACTGCTGCAGTTCTGGAATGGAAATTCTGTTTCATTTTGCTAAAGCTGCTGCTGCCTAGAAGAGCAATCAAAGTGAGCTAAAAATCTCAGTAAGAGATCATCCCAAGGGAAAAGAGACTGAGGAAGACACAGCAGTGGGAACAAAAAGACAGAACATGTCTTTCTAGTCCAGCTCTCACTGAGAAGCAACATCAGGACTTCCAGGACTCCTACCGTTCTGGGTCTCATTTTGATCAAGCCATCTTTTCTTTAAGGAAAGTACAACAAAAACAATAAGGGGAAGGAAACAGCCACCCTGATTCATTACAGACTCCCCTCCAATCAACAGCCAGACTCTGAAGATGGGGTCTCCTTGTGCCTTTTTGCACTTCCTTTTCTAACCATCAGGGCAACACTGTTACTGTGACTGCCCTGACCACAGATTGCAGCATAACAGAACCATCAACATGAAACAGCAGGTTTGCCTTCAATCTCACTTCCTTCTCTAAAATAAACACCCTCAGAAATCAAAGCTTACTGAACATCCACAATACCACCTAGAAAGATTTCAGCAGCTTCAAGATCTGCCTTACCTGGACACATTGCAATCAAAATCCAATCCATCATACAATGAATCTACAAAACAGTTTGCACTTCCCAGGGTTGATAAAGAGTGTTTTGCAATATCAGCACTGTTCATTAACTTCATCATGGCTCTGGGATTTCCTCTAATATCATGTTTACAAGACCTATATTTAAAAAAAAATAAATTATACCAGTTTAAAGAGGCAGGAATTTGACTGGTAACTCTTTCTGAAAGGAAGAACAGGTTAGAGCTATTGCACTTTTATTCTGTAAACATTTTAGTATTAACTACAATGCCACTACTGAAAATTTGCACACATCTGGACACAATAGAGTCCACAGCTGAGCCCTTACAGTTTAACACCAAATTAAGGCAATATCCACCCACATTCAGACATTTCCCAGTCTTCCTCCTCAGCCCCAAACAACTGACTGCTCCTTCAGCATCATCTTTACTTGAACCATTTCACTAACAGAGACTCTGCTAATTTTTTTCTAAAAGCAAGCACTACATAATGAAGATCCTGTCCTAACAGCAACATGCTTGGAATTCAAATCTTACCTCTGAAATTCAGAAGCTAAGTGTTGTGCTAGAGCTTCTGTGAAGCAAACTCCTCCAATGCTGTCATCTGTGTTTGTAGCAAGCACACGATATATTCCACTGTTCACTTCTATGACTGTGATAGAAAGTGATGTTCCACCCAGTTTATAGACCAGCACGTTGCTGCCACATTAAAAAAATGTTGAAAGTAGCATTAATTTTGACACATTGTTAAAAGATTACTACCAAGTATTGAAGGTTTTTATCAGGCAACTATATGAGAATGGTAAAGAAACACTACACAAGAACAAAAAAGTTCAAACTGACAGCAGTGTTTAGTATTTTGAAAGTGAATTATTTATATATTCATAAAAATGAATATATTCAACCAGATGCACTTACTCAACCCAGGAGCTCTGCTTTAGTTCTTCCAGCCCATGTAAAATAACCCCATCCCACAAAATTAAAACCAGCTATGCCAAAATATGTTCAAAAAGGAATGCATTTTTCTTCATGCCAATCAGCTTATTAAACAGAAAGTTGGAAACTGGGGACAAATATTTTAAGGCAATTCTCAAAATACAAAGACCAAAGCAAAGTGATTTAATACACTACAAAATTACAACTTCTAAATGCTTACTGTCTTGATTGAGAGAAAAAAGCAAAACAAGCCTCATGCTAAGCCAACATGGCATTCCCTCAGTTAAGATTTTTCAGTATTTAGGTACGGCAGCTTAAAAATAAGTAGAACATTAGGACTTTACCTTTTCCCAGTGGGTGAATCTTGGCCAATTCCATAAGCAAGGAGAGCTGCAGATGGTTCATGAATTAATCTCATAACATTGAACCCAGCAGCTGCAGCTGCTTCCCTGCAATGAGCCACAACAGCATTTCATTGTACTTTAGTGATCTCACTGTAGTCACACACTGCAAGATTTCACCTAAACTACCCGTGCCATCTAATCAGACCTTGTTTATAGCATGGCATTACAAAACTGAGTGACTGAAAAAGTGCCAATAAGATCAGTTGCTACTGTGTTCTTCAAAGAATTGGATCTGCTGTGTGCTCACTGGCAAAGAAAACACTGATCTATCAGACTACATATCCCATAAAAACTGTAAAATAACCCACAATTACACACCACCCTAAATCAAACTTGGTAACTTATCTTCAGGAATGGTAATGAAATACTTGATACATTATTTCAACAGGCAACAAAATTAATTTACCATGCCTCACTTGCAACATTTAACTTGCATGTTTTCTTGAAAGTTCAGTATCCCTGGGAATACCCCACAAATTGTTCCCTCCAGTTTGAAGTTACACCAGAGCAATAGAATGTTTCATTATAGATACTGCAAATCCCCAGCTTGCTGTTTTTTTACCAACTTTCAGGTGTGTTTTATTTATTTATTTCATGACAGTTAAATGTAAGGGCTTCTACATATCAGAAAGTAAAAACAGATGCTGCCATTTATGCTCAGCTTTAAGCATCTTATGTTTTCCTACTGAGGAACTGTCAGAGCAAAAGTGTTTCCAAACAGAATTTCCAAGTAGAAAACTGGTATGTATTCCAAATCTGCACTCTGACAAAGCAGAGCTGAAGAGGCCATGTAGCACCACTCTGGGGAGGATGGAGGGGAAATTATGGAGGAGACTGAGATGCTATTTGCATTTCAAAGGGGTCACTGAAGATCCTGATTTGAAATGAGGTTCTATCCTTGATGAAATTGAAATTTCCTCTCACTTCAGTGATTCAGAACTTCCATTTGGTCACATCACCAAATTCCATTAAAAGTTGCTACACTCATGATTAAATCTCTTGCTTTCATATTTTCCCAGTTTAAATAACATCCCAATATCTTGACTGATGCTCACAAGTTGAAGGCCAGCAGCAGAATTCCCACTGCTGATCTCCCAGTCCATCTGCTTTAGGCACATAAAATAACAGAAAAACCTCAATGCTCTTACCCAAGGGCATTCTTCTGATTCTCTCCAAAATCAAATGGCACAGTGACAACAACATCATTCACATCTGAGCCCAATGCAGACTGGGCAGTCTCTGTTTGGAAACACAAGCAGAGCACGCTGATTAAAAGCAAGCAAGGAAAAAATGTATGACATCTTAAAAATAAAAGGACACCTTAAAAAGCTAAAACATGTCAATGAATTTAATTATTACATACCTTTCATTTTACTGAAAATTAGTTTTGCCACATCTTCTGGGTTAATAAGTTTGTTATCTATTTCATACTGAAGTTTCCCATTCTTCTCAATCATCTGTAAGCAGAACCAACACACCTTTGTCAGACAACAATTTGGTTAATAACAAAAAGTAATGTTTAATTTAGGCTCTGTTTAAAGTAAAAAGCACTGGATGGTGTAAACACTCCCTGCCTTAGCATTCTACTACAAGGGAATAAACACTTCCAACATGCTTATCAAAGACCTGCAGCATTTGACAGACACAACAGGGACATTTAAGACTTTAAGGAGTCAAGATTCTCCCTTCCTATTAAATTTTCCTGAGTACAAAAGCAATGTTTAAAACATAAGTGCACTCCTGGTTATATTCCATAAGAAAAACCCCAACAATTTATAAAATTACACCAATATGAACAGCAGAAAAATCACCCGTTTGTTACAAATTCATTTTCCAGGATAATTTTTCTCCTGTTTTGCAAAATTTTCCAGCAACAAGGACGGTATTATGCAAATTAAATACTGAGATTAAATCAACAGGTTAAAGATGTTAATCACAAGGTGCTGCAACTTGAGTATCTTCCACCAGCTCTAACAAAAACCACAATGCTACTACTGAAATGCATTAGGATTCACCTGTTTGGAGGATGGCCAAGAGATAAAACATTTTCTGTTGGAACTACCTATATTATGCTGGCAGACCCCAGAACATGGTTATCAACTGGACAAAAACAGAAACATTCTACACAGCAGCAAAGGGACATGATATGATGGGAGCTGATCACTACAGAACAGACAGGGTATGGCCCAAACAATAATAAAAATCTATAAATCATCATACTCACAGAGCATTTGCTTTCTGCAATGTATTTCTTTGCCTGAGGGTCACCAGAGCTGTCCATAAAAATTGAAAATAACAAAATCAATCATGCATTCAAGGTTAATTGCACAAATGCATCTTGCTGATATTCCTTTTAACATTTCTAACTCATCAAGCTATACTTGAACCAAAAATTCCTGGTTTTATTCTGCAGATCATTTATGGAGTAGAAGAAAACCCAACAGTTCTGACTGGTGGCATTTTTCATTCTCCTTTCCTAAAACTTACGATTGAAAAAATACCTACTACTTACAGAAAAGGAAAAGCAAACTCACACTGCTATCCCCCATGAACATTTATAAAAGATTTCAGCAAAGTTCTGCATCTGAGAAGGAATACAGAATGGGCAGCATCTTGACAGCTCCTCTCAATAAAAGGGCTGTAACACACAGCTGGATCATCACTAAGAAGTTTTTTCACATCTCTGAGGTTACTCCAACCCAAAAGATTTAGTTCTACTGTCAATGTAATTGCCAGTGCAAATTATCACAGCTTCTCTAACAGGAATCACAACAGGCACTAATCAACAGTTTCACTATTGCAATAGAAGCAACACAAAGTTTCATGCAAACAAAACTACAGTGGATTTTACAGAAAAGCAATCAGCTGACAAAAAATCCTAGCTAAGAAACTGAAGTGTGTATGAAAAGCATATATGCAACTTGTTACTATATTTCACAACTTGATTTTCACAGACAAGGTACCCGGACTGTCTGTAACTCTTTGTTTCTGTTGTCTCATGATGTCCTAATTCAAATTGGCCAAATTATTATTACCCTAATTATATTGCTATTTTTATAACCATTATCGTTAAACTTTTGAAATTTTAAAAACAAGTGATTGCCGTTTTTCACAAGGTGTTGGGGCATGGTTGGACTCCATGATCTTTAAGGTCTCTTCCAACCCAGTCACTCTGAAAATTTCGTAATTTCTCACCGCCCCTTCCACACCCATTCTCTTACCTTCTCCCAAGGATCTGCTTCACTTTCACGACAGTGTTGGAAATATTTCTTATCCTGCTTTGCTTCGCAGCTAAGCCAACAACCTGAGGGAAAAATAAACGAAAACAAAATAGAAAAGCTGAGTAGCAGGCAGAGCCCTCTCCCCTCCTCCTCCTCCTCCTCCTCCCCAGAGCACCCCGCGGAGGGGCAGCCTCACCTCCTCGCTCTCCGAGAACGCCACGACCGCGGGCGTGACCCTGTCCCCGGCGTCGTTGGCGACCACATCGGCGCGGCCATCCTGAGGGGAGAGAGATGGAGGGAGGCAGAGCCGTGAGCCTGTGGGGGCTGCACCGCCGAGGGGGGCCCCCGAACCGCCCTGACCGAGCTCCCCGAAGGCCCTGCCCCTGCCCAAGCCCCCCGAGCGGCCGCAGCCACGGCCCTGCCCTCACCTTGTACACGGCGGCGCACGCACAGGTGGCTCCCAGGTGCACCCCGATGGCCGCCATTGCCCCTTCCCGCCCCGACGTGCCCCGCGCGGGCCCGCTCCCAGCCAATCCCGCGCCGCGCTGAGCCGTCGCCGGCGGAGCAGCCAATGAGAAAAAAGCATAGCGAGTGGCGTCATCGCGCATAGCAACGGGGGCAGACTGCGCGCGGGTTTTGGTGGGAAGCGGCGCTGTGAGGGATTGTGCAGTCATGGGATGTTGTCATCTTATTTCAAAATCCCACCCACACCTTCTCAGTGAATTCTCATGTGCAGCTCCTCACAGCACTGACTCCTCCTTCTTCTAAGCACAGATAACAAACGCCATCTCTTTCTCATCCAGCTACCCCACTCTTTTATAGCACTCATCCTCACTGGACACAGGTGTGGCCTGTTAAGGGCAGGCCTGTTCCTAACCTTTGGTGATTGGTACAGCTGCAACTCCTCAGGGGTGAGATTGCCTTCTGCACTATCTTTATTTTCTTACATTCTATCCCTCCATGATGGGACAAATCTTCTTTTGGGTAACTGAGCTTGCTGGAGGTGCCCAAAGGCTGCAGCTCAGCTGCCAGCAGTCCATGCTCCAGAGATGATGGCACTGTGACAAAGGCAAAGCTTATACAGCTGGGAACAATCCCTTTGGAATGTGTCCAAATTGTAGCTCCTTTCTGTCTTTTGTAAATGAGGAATGAAAAGAGAAAAAGGGTAAAAGTGGGCGGGAGAGAGCAGTGGGGACTGGAAAAATGTATTGTAGAAGGGGGATGCTCCCCATGATGCTTTTGGCAAAAGAAAAGAGAAGGGGGTCTGGGAAGAAACACAGAAGATGCAAGAGTAAAAGAGAACATAGCCCCCAATACAAAAAACAAAATATTTTTCCTGTACTTTCCTTCAAATCCTAATACTGGTTGCACCATTTCTGTCAGCATACAGGTATTTAGCACCCAAGCCAGAATGTGTAATCTGTGCATTGCAGAGTGCTTGTGGCCACCCTGGGAACAACTCCCACCCAGCTCAGCACACCCACAGTTATTTTCCAGTTGTTGTGCCACAGACATGTCCATATGGACACACAGAAATTCTGCTTATCTTAACCAAAGCAATTAATGTTCTTGCCAGGTGTAAGCAAACCTGAGTGGCAGCAGGCAGGAAATTCCTTGGGAGAAGTTTGTGGTGGCAAGTGGTGTTTGCTGAGCAGTGAAAAGCCCTTGTGTGTCTGTGCCCCTCCTATGTTTTGGGGAATTGTTCTTATCTAACAGGAAGTTCAGAAGCTGCACTGAGCTTGAGTGAGCTGATCGATGGGACAACAACTCACCTCTAAATAAAGAGGGGGAGCAGCAGCCTGGGTTTGGAATTTGATCTTGCACTCCTCTGCAAGAGCTATTTCCCTGAGGCAGGAAGAGGAGAAACACCCAGCCACAGTCTGACTGGAGTCCTGCACTTCTCCAGGCACCTCCATCCAACAAACACCCACCATGCATCAAACTCAGCTCAGAATTGGATGGGTGCTCTGATGAAACCCCTCAGCATTATCTCCCAGCTGAAAAAGCAGTAGCACAAACCTTTCACAGTGTCACAGCCGTCCCCTCTCCTCCCAGCTGTGGTCCATCTCAGCCATCCAAAAACCAGAGCAGCTTTATATCCTCATATCTAATACAAATCAGCCCTCTTTCCATTTAAAACCATCACCCCTTGCAACAGGCCCTGCTAAAAACTCTGTCCCCATCTTTCTCACAGCCCCCCTTTAATACCTTTAAGGTGGAAGCAAGTGTCTCTATCAAACAAAGATTGTTTTGCAGCTGGGAAATAGTATTTACTCTAATGTCACAGACATCTTTTCATGAAAAATCCTTTCCTTAGGATTTTTCCTCCCGAGAAGCTGGGAGGCCTCAGGAACAAAATGTAAACAATGGTTATCTGCTGCTGTGGAATGCAACAGGTGCATCTGTGATTGGTCTCATGGGGTTGTTTCTAATTAATGGCCAATCACAGTCAGCTGGCTTGGACTCTCTGTCCGAGCCACAAGCTTTTGTTGTCATTCCTTCTTTTTCTATTCTTAGCCAGCCTTCTTATGAAATCCTTTCTTCTATTCTTTTAGTATAGTTTTAATATAATATATATCATAAAATAATAAATCAAGCCTTCTGAAACATGGAGTCAGATCCTCATCTCTTCCCTCATCCTAAGACCCCTGTGAACACCGTCACACTCTAAAATGTCCCTTGGGGTGAGGAAAGAGGGATGAGAGAACTTCTTTTAATTATTTTGTGTGTGTTCTGACTTAATTCTCTGAAAATAAAGCTTTGAGGAGACAAGGTGGCAGCTCCAAGATTGGCCTGTGATCATCTCTGGCCTGAGGATGTGAACAGAGGCACTCAATGGTCAGGATTCTCAGAAGAGCTTTGTGAGAGCCTGGTTGTGAGGCACCTGGACAGGAATCCTCTGTGTGGCACTTAAATCCAGCTTTGAAAACAGCTCCTTCCCCAAGACAGAGCTGTAAGACTACACAGCCTTACTGGGGTACTGTCATCTCTGTTAGAAAACTTCCATTTCCCTCACTTTGTACAAAAAGAGGCTTTTCAAGCTCATTGCCCAAATTCCCCAAAGTGATTACACCATCCTTATTCATTGCAGTGCTGATTTTGGGCACACATGGTGTTGGGGGTCTGTCTGTATATCACCCCCAAAGTTGCTGGGCTTTGGTGGAGCCTGTAGCTGTTTCTGGCTTTGCTCTAACACCTTCCACCCATCACAAAAGTCACTTAATAAAACTGATTTCAGTATCCGTTCTTTATAACCACAATATATAAATGATAGGGAAGAAGCAAGCTCAGTTAGTGGGTCAGATTAGTTAAATAATTATCCTAATATATATTAAGCAGAACAAAATATTTTTATGGGTCGAAAATCAGGGCTGGCTGCCACGGACTCTTCCCTCATCAGCCCAAAAAAAGAAGTACACGGAGAGCTTGGCAGGCAAACCCTTGCAGGGCTGCTCCCAGTGCCTGTAGGTGGCAGAACTGCCGCACGAAATCTCAGTGCTACAACTCAGCTGCAGCGTCTGTTTGGCAGCCCCGCAGGTTGGCAGCAAAGTTGAAGTCAGATTAATTTACTTTTACTCACACCAGAATGCTTGTTAGAGAGTATCCCAAGATTGGTTTGTATTTTAGAAGACATAGAGTATGTTAAACATCTCTGATTTGGACTGTAAAACAAGAATGGTAGTTTTCTTTCTTTTCTTGAAAAACCTTAGGGTGCTTTTAAAATAAAGCAACCTTTTTTTTGCACTCCACATCACAAACTTGAGTCACAAAGTAGGAAAAGTTTGGGTTTCTTACAACCTGAAACAACCAAACTGTACCTGAGGGGAATTGATGAGTGCTCCTTGAATGAGCTGCTCACCCACACTGAAGCACCCCAAGGGAATCTGCTGGTGACTCCACTGAAAATAACATTGTCCTGAAAATGGAAAGCTTTTTCAGGTCACTCTGGTACATCTCTGCTGCCACTCAGCCAATTGTGAATTATTGTTGACAGGAGGCAGGAGCTACTGAAGGCCAATTAAACATAGCAAACACACTCCAAGGCTAGAACAGAGAGCTGGCACAAGTCACCTTTGACAAGGTTTTGTTGAAATTTGGTTATTAGGGAAATCAAACTCGTATGAATTACTGCAGAGTAAATACAAGCACATGCCATTATAATTGCAGGTACGTTTGATGTTAAGAAAACAAAAAATATGTAATATTCTCATTGCTGCTTGGAGATTGCTATTGACTGTGTCAGGCAGTATCATCTTTGGGCACTTCTGTGATGATCAAATTTGGCTAAACAACTTCATTACTTATGTCAAGCCTAAGAACTTTCAAACATTCATACCAGGTTTTTTTTTTTTCCCCAGTAAAAGTGCAAATCTGCATATTTTCCTCCATTTTCCTCTCTGTGTTCCAGTTTTTCCATCTCTTAAATGATGTCAAGTTCACTCTGCAGGAATGTTGAAAGGCTTTAATAATAGATAGGAAGTGTGCTGAGATCCTTGGCTGGAGGATGCTCTGTAAATGAAAAATGTTATGGTTAATAATGCAGATCTAAGTTGTGACATGAATTACAAAGGATGCCATGAGGCAAGCTCAGAGCTTTCCAAGCAAACTACATGGTAAAATATGCCTGAAATTCATTTTTGTGCTCTCAGTGGAAAACCTTGTGTGCATTGAGCACTGCCATGAAATTCATACTCTGCAGGGCGAGGTGGCTACAAAAGGATGAGAGGAAATGGCCTCAAGTTGTGTCAGGGAAGATTTAGATTAGAATTAGATATTAGGAGCAAATTATTTGTTGGAAGGGAAGTCAGTCATTGAAATCACCATCCCTGGAAGTTTCCAAAAGGTGTGTGGGTGTGGCACTTGGGGTCATGGTGAGCACAGTGGCTTAAAGATTGAACTTTATGCTCTTAGAGGTCTTTTCCAACCTGAACAGTTCCATGATTCTATGAAAACTGAGCAGTGTTTAAACCCGCAGTTTAAGAAAAGATGAATACCACAACAGGTTATGATCAGCATCACATTTGATAGTGATTAATGCAGGCAAAGAATGGATTTAGACATGAGTGTGCCAGCTAGAAATGAAGAGTTCATTCTGTGCACTGTCAGAGATTTAACACATGTTCTTGTGGAAGCCATTTAATTTTGCTGTTCTTGAGTTCTTCATCTGAAAAAAAACCCCAAACAAACAAATAAACAGGAGCAGCATTTTCCTTCCTCCCAAGGATGTTCTGAGGATAACCACATTAATTAGTTGCCTGCTTAGAGGTGAGTGTAATCGGATGGCGTAGCTAGAACACAGCAGTTATCTCTGCTGACCAGTCCTGGTCAGTATCATGTCAGCTAAATTGATTTTTGCAGAAGGTGATTAAATGCAATTAAATGTCCATGTTAAAACCAGCATTAAGATTAGCTTTACTGAACTGAGATCAAAGTGGTGATAGATTTTGAGCTCCTTTTATTAAAAAAAAAAAAAGTGTTAATAGGATTCATGC